CTGTCTGCAAATTAATACACTTTCGCAGAGCCATAACATAACAGTTGAAGAATGACGAGCTAACATGAATTGCAATGAAAAAGTGTGAACAGCCTAGAACCAAGAACCTGATGATGATTCGTGCACAAGTATGGCATGCAGGAGAGAGCAGTTTGTGTCTGTACACGAGAAGTCACAGTGCTGGCCACGCCCTCTGCACTGACCAGAGATGCTGCTATCTGCCCTGTGTCTCCCTCCCACTGGATTGTTCAGGAAAGATTAACCCCTTTTACCATTAAAAGCATAGACTTAAAACTTGCTTAGCTTATATATTGCTGACTATCAGATTTACAGTGATATATATTTTTTTACGTAACTCAGACAAACCCTTTTAAGTTTTTTTTGGCATTTTATATCTTTAATGCACTTATGTGAATTAATTAATAGTGATTTGGACTTTACATTTGGTTAAAAACCCATAATATAAAAAAATACCAATTTTTTTTTTAAAATGATAAATTTGAAGACAATTTTGCATGTTGTGGCAAATCATGACGTCTAGGAGTTTTTTCAATATTTTATTTATTTTCAGCACACCAAATTACATGGAAATTAGATGAAAATAATCAAACAGCTTTTTAGTCGCAAACCTGTGAATAGTAAATAGTTTATTCAGTAGACCATTTCAATTTAATATTTAATAAAAGTTGTCTTTGCTTATATTAAGATGAACCTGAGAATTCTTAAAACACAAACTCTACATTTCATCAATTAAAAATATCTGGTATGTTTCTGTCATAGCTCATGTAATTTCTGTATGTATTCAATATATATCTGCCTACATTCCAAGTCAACAAAATCAAGAAAATACATGTTAGACTATGTTTTCAGATTTATTTTTCCTGAGGAACTACATTTATTGATAATTGAAGTTTTGTGTTCTTATCACTGTGAAAGTTAATTACAGTTTAATGAAAAAAATATATTATTTCTCAAGTGAGGTTTGATATTAAAGTAACAAGGAAGTATAGCCACTGAAAAGTAGTATATTTCCCCTGAAATTAAGCATATACAGCATGTACAGCAATGCTTGTTGAAATAAAAGGAAGTCTGGTCTTCCAAGAAGCTGTTTATTTACAATCCATTGTCAAAAGGCAGCTTGGCATATCAAAACAAAAATAGTCAGAACTGAAGCATGCAGAGAAATGGATACTTGTCTTTCTATCAAGTTCACACACAAAAATTCCCCCTTTCCCATTTTTACTTCCTTACCAAGATAGCTAGCATTGGGCTCTTCTGTGGGTGGGTGAAGGGCAGTTTGATTTGCTATGAACCTGTTGATACTTTTTTCTACACTAAAAATTCCATAGATACATGTGATCAGTTGTTAATTAACAATCCCTAGTTTATCACTCCATTGTAATTCCAGAGCAAGATGCATACATAACTACATACCCATATACAACCTTTCTTTTCTACACAGTTTTCTATGTTGTTAACCTACTAACCCTTAACAGCTGCATCATAGAAATTTGGCATATTGTGGATAATGTACACCAAGCACTTTCTTATGAAGCAAAATTAAAGCAGCAGCCATGTTCTCAAGATGCTCTGGTAACTACCAAAGGTAAATGGATGTGGGGCTTACTAGCATTTGGGAAAGGCTGAACTGCTCACTTCTACATATTGTTTTTGTTAAGGGAACACTATTCACATAAGATATACCCTCCTTAATGTATTGCTTCTATGATGAAACCACAATTAGTGAAAACCAGAACATATTTGTAACTTTCTCCACAAAGGGTATTTTTGACACAACATATTCAAACTAAAAGTTGTAGAGGTGGTGTTATAGGTAGAGTACCTGTTCTTTGGACTTGCACACTCCTAGCCTGCTACAAAGTGTGTGAAGAGGAGCATTCAGAGTTCTTACTACTACAGAATATGTAATAAGGTATAAGATTATGCTACAGTAATTAGTATAGCTTTAAAAGAGCATTGGGGAAAATATTGGGAGACACATCTAACAGGAACAATTCATCCCCAAGTTCAATATTACTTCCATATATCAGTTCTGGGTGAGTAATAGTGGGAGAACTATATATCTCCAATCACAGCTATCTGACTGGCCACTGAAAGAAACAAATGCTGGACTGTGGGCCTTGATCGGAAGGTTCCACCACAAAACCGCGTTTGACTAAACCATGCTCGATGAAACCGCGTAGCTGACATCATCAACAGCGTGACAACAGCACGGAGACAGAAGCACGCTGTAAACGCTAAACCTAAAATTAACCCCTAAACCTAAACCTAACCCCCCTAAACCCTAATCCTAACCCTTAACCTAACCCTAAACCTAACCCTTAACCTAACCCTAAACCTAACCCTTAACCTACCCCTAACCCTTAACCTAACCCTTACCTTAAGTTGAATCGGCTTGCTTTCAAAGCACTATTTAAAGCACCCTTCTTTCTCCACGCTCGCTGTTGTCGCCCTGTTGATGATGTCAGCAATGCGGTTTAATCGGGCGCAGCTTAGTCAAGCGCGGTTTTGTCGTGCCACGGATCTGAATGGGTTCTCTAGTTTTAATTCCATTGCCCCTGGGCTAGAGCCACACGTTTTCCAAGTCTTTTGGGTGGTCTGGCAAGTTGAGAATGGAATCAAGGAAGTAATCAATGCTTGAGAGGCAATAACGCTGCCTGCCTTGACAAATGCATTAGTGGATCTTGCCTTAAATGTATCTGAACCAAGTTATGCTTGATAAATTTTGTTTTGTTTTCAGCTTTTTAGAGAAGCTTATTAAGGTGACAGCAAATCAACTTGAGAGGATCCGGGAAGAAATGATTGGCCTTTTGCCAATCAAGATTCATTTATAGTTCTGATGAACCCTAGACTAGTGTGTTTCCTGGATCCTATTAATCCTTCAGCAGCAATTGATATAATGAAACACAGTGCCACTCTGGATCATTTACAAGGGTTGAGAACTGGAGGCTCCATTGCTGTGCTCCTATCTGAACTGCAGTTTTAGTCAGTGATCATGGAGAAAGTGCTCAAGTTGATGGACTCTCAATATGATATCTGAGGTCTGAGTGCTCTGTTGTTAAATTTCTACATAAAACTACTGGAAAATATCGCTTCAGGATCACTTTTCATCAGTACTTTGATTACTTTTAATTTTACATCATCACTCCAGGAGCTGGAGATACCATTAAAGTCCTGAACTGGTGCCTAGAGGATGTAAGGATCTGGATGGACACAGAAACAAGCTGACAGACAGAAAAAAGTTGAGATTAAATCCTGCAAGACAGAGTTATTGGTCATGAATAAACATCTAACCAATCTGCTAATTTTAGTCCTGGTATTGCTTCAGGTTTTTATAGTACTCCACTGAGGGATATTTTTGAACTGTGGTCATCCCTGCTTCAAACAGCAGGTAAATGCTATGAAAGGGACTTTAGTTAATATTTACAACTCTACATGGCTAGAATGGAATGACATAAGTAACTCACACCTGATTACTACAACTGGATTGTACTACATACTCTGTGTGGGACTACTCTGAGACAATATGAAAAGTGCAGTTGGTATATAGCAGTCGAAAACAACACTAGGTTGAATATTGTGGTACTGGTTATCAGTTGATTCTTGACTCAAGTCAGAGGGCGCCCTATTGTGGTAAAGTTGTTTTAAATGTAGCATAAAGGATAAATCAAGTAATAGTTTGTTAAAACTGAATTTGCTTGCCCAGCCTGATTATTGGGAAAGATTATGGAGAATGGATTTAACAAGAGACAGAAGATGAGTCCCTCAGCAGTTTTTTTATAAACAGCAATTCAACTAAGATATCAAGAAACCTGAGAAAAGGAATATCAATTATTTGAAATTCCAAATCATTGATATTCCACCTCAATGAATTCAGTTTAAATAACGGTGAGAAATTCCTGTTTCCAAAATTCTGCATTTATTCTAAAATTCACATTAATGATATCTTAATTAATGAAGTCTATATAGTTTTTGCTTTTTGATATTGCCCAATTAATTAATTAATTAATTATCCAGAGAAGGTTGTTGAGAATATTACACCTTCACATGGAACAAATATGTGGGGCATGAATTAGACAGCATACCTTCTCTGTGGTAGCCTTCACTTTCCAGAATACCACTCCCCTGCTGAGTTATCATGGCTCCCTACCTAGTATTCTTCCATAAACAACTACAAAATGTGTTTTTCAACAAGCCTATAGCTCCAGTTGATTGAGAGATGTGCACATTATAGGCCTGGTAGTTTTTTTTTTAAAAGCTGTAGTTTTTCTTTGTTAAAACACAAAGCCAATAGTTTAATTTTTGTATTTAGTTAGAAGAATCAAATAGTCTAGGTTCAATAAAGCATTCAACCCAAATGCATGTCTACTATCTTCATGTTCAGTCTTAAACTTGATACATTATTCACTCTTTCAAATATCATTTATTTGCAGTGTGTCTTTATGCACAAATAAATATAGTTTTTCACCACATCAATTCATCTTTGAATTGAAGTAGCTGCTGGTAAGCAATAAATTATCAAAGCATAAAGCATGAAGTTTTCAGAACAGGAGTCCTTTCTGTCCAACTGTTGCCACTCTATTCAAGAAGAACATTATTTATTCAGTGATTATCAGCATTTAACTAATGTTTTGCTTTCTGTAAGTGGTGAGACTTCTTCGCCACACATGAACTGTTCCTGAAATAAAAAATAATAATAATCATATTCAGAATCATATTAATCATGTATTAATTTAAGGCTGATATTAATTAAATATAAACATCCAAAAAAGGAATCATTTATTTTAATGGCAAAAAGTAGCTTCCTGATAAAACCATGGCTCTACAAACAAGAAACCACTAAATAACATGGGAAAACAAAACGGTTCAATGTTATAAAGACACAAGAAGCAAACTGCCCCAATATTATTTCTACAAATGTTCTTTTGTGCATCATCATCATCTTGTCTAACAACCTCTATTTCATAACTATCGATTAGAGGTGAGATCATTCAAATAGATTTGAAGCACATAAGATAAAAGGAGTAGTGGTACGAATTATTCACTGAATGTCTTGACTGGACTATATTGAATCTATAATTAACAAATTATAATTGTATATAGATATCAAAACAAATAATTAAGTAGGTGGGACTAGGGATTCTGTGCAATATTTGCTAAGCCATTTTCTTCATTCAGACTGTAAACTGGCTGTAAGTTTAAGTCATTTCACTTCAGACCATATTGAGTAGGATAAATATGTATTTTCTTTAATACCTCAGTTATTCCATCAATGCTTTAAAGAATGCAACAATCTTCTGCTTTGATATCTTTCTATCAGGATCTACTATCCATCAAGAGTCACAGAAACTGTTGACCTATCTTTGCTTTATCTTTCTATTGTGCAAGATGATTCATCTACTATAGATATGACAGTTCAGCTACTCAGACCCTTCACAGATTGACTGAAAACAAATTTCGAAGGACTGTTCTTGGTTTCCTGGAATATTAATGGGTAAGAAGCCAAGATGGGCAATTCCTCTTTGTTGAATCTAATTCATTCATATGATTTAACCATGCTATTGCAGATATGGTTTTAAGAAAAGCTGGTCCTTCAAGCTTTCAGCTAGTGCAGAATTAATGAAAGTTTGCTATACACTCTTTAGAAGCCACATTGAGAGCATCCAAGAGCCAGATTTATGAGAATCTTTGCACCCTGTTTATAAACAATTTTGTATTAAAATCACTCAGCTTCAATCAAATGAGAATCTGACCTTAATTTCTATTATTTTACCAATAAAAATCTTTTACCCGCAATGTTTATGTTCCTTCTTTCCTTAACTAACATTCTTTAGAATAAGTTGCAACATTTCATTCTATCACTTGGGAACATCCAAATGCAAGTATTGTTACAAGTATTTAATGCCAGAATTGGCTCCACTGATGCAATGCTTTTCTCCTGTTTTCAAAGGTACCTCTAAGGGATATTTAGACAGTAAGGTGAAACACTATAGGAAACAGTCTGTGGAATTGATGGAACTACAAAACAAGCACAATACATATAACTTTCGCTAATCAAGAATGAGTTCTCCAACATATGTCAACCATAGATACAAAAGACCCAGAAAATATATATATTTTATCGCTCATTGTATTTGGCCAGTTATTATATATTGTTTAAATGTTGTAGCTATGTAATAAATAAATAAATTTATATGCAACCTAGCTCCCAATGACTCTGGATGGTCTTTGCTGGTTACTGATATTAGATAAATAAATGTCACCATCTGTGAAAACAGTCTAAAACAAGTACAACATCCACCCCTGCTTGTTCCTCACCTTGTCGTAGATCACTTTGACTATAAGTGAACAACTTGGGCAGGTCGCCACATCTTCCCCATTCTCCAGATCTTCCTGCAATAATACATAAGAATCTGCCCCCTTAATAAAGCATTCCATTTAATGTGTAAAAAGGAGAGGGAAGAAGAAAGAAGAAGTCCTATCTGCTAGATACTTCTGAATAACACAACACTTCTCACAACTGTATGGGGTCTCAATTCACTGAACACTTCCTGTTAATGTTTGAATAGGTAGACTATCAGGGTATATCCAAAGTTGTATTTGGATCCAGATCTAACTGTCCATATGCTATTTTTTCTGCCAAAAAGCAATATGTTTTATTCACCTCAAAAGCTAGGTATTTTGATTTCTAAAGATGTCTTCTATGAATCTGCACAATATTACAACTGGTTGAGCACCCAAGAAAGAGTGAGAAAAGAAATATTAATTTACTATATATAATCTCAATCTCAATCTTGTTTTGGATTTCTCAAGAGAAAAGAACTTCAAATAAGACAACTCCAAAACAAAATTCCACTAAAGTTTCTCCTAAAGGCAATGAACTCAACTCAATAATTCACTTATTGACAAATTCTGCACTGCTTTAGGTGGCAGATGTCCTTCAGAAGCATTTTGTTTGAGTTATTTATCAATATTATCTTTTCTGGAAAAAAGGTTTCTTGCTGGCCACACTTACCATGATAATGTCCAATGAAGACTGTCAAAACACATTTCTATAGGACTGACTTAAAAGTTTAATTTTAAAAACCAGTTAAAATACTTAATTGAGTATCTCAATACCCCTTGAGATCTCAGCAGTTCAGATATTTAGACACTTTTCTAATTTTAGTTTAGGACATATGTTTATCAGAAGGGAACTAATAATAGATCTCAAATTGCTATGATCTGAAATGGATTTTTATCTTTTCCACACAAATTATTTCCCAAAATCATAGTGCTGAAATGCACAGCTTGGGTAAATGTGGACATTTTCTTTCAACTACATTGTGACATTCTGAATAAATCTTTCAACTCAGAAAAGAGCATTAAATGCCCACAATAGTTCCCTCAAGGCTGAATAAAGTCTGTGCTTGCCTCAGGAACATAAAGTCTACATTATTTAATACTGTATTAATTGATTTAATTTTGTGCTAAGATTAAACTATAGGTCCTAACTTTTAACCTGGACTAAGATGGACTGCATTAAAATGCTTCTCTCCATCCAAAGCTTCTCAGGTTTATCAATCTTTTTTCTTTTAAATTTAGTAAGATTATAGCTGGTCTGCCTTGCCCTGTTATCAGAGCACCAAATTGCCATGTTGACTATGTTTGAACATCTCTCAGTTGCAATAAATTATTACAATATTTTATAATTCACCCTGACTGAACACAGAAGACACATCAAGCCCCTACCCAACTTGGCACTTTCTAGATATACTGGTTACAAACGCCACTCCCACATCCTAATCCAGGAGTGCTTGGAGTACAAACATGTTTGGAAAGCTCTAAAGCAATGTCTATCAAACTTGGCGTGCTGGCTATTTGGGGAATTGAAATCCACCCATCTTAAACAAGCTAATTTGAAAAACAATGCTTTTGAGTCTAGCTTGAGGAAGACGGAAAGGCAATAGGCTTGATGGCTACCTATATTCGTATTTCTATTTTCCCCCATCACAAACAGTCGAGATCGATCTGTATTTTGAGGGTTTGCTCCAAGGTGAGATATGTTCACGTAAACATGTATGTCACACAGCAATGTCTCTTGTACGTAGAAATTACTGGTTCTTACCCGCGTAATAAGAAAGCGGTCTCCACAGGGGCACGGATAGCTGTAGGTCTCGGTATCCTCATCGTATTCGAAGTCCTCGATCTCCACCTCGTCGTGGAAAACGGACATGTCGCACCGCGGTTTTCTGCCTCCCTCTGTCAAAAGTAGCCAGCGCCACGTGTCCAGGAAAATCGGCAACTGCACTAAAAAAAAGAGTCTACAATTTCTCCACCATCATATTTGTTCCGGATTGAAGCCACGAACGATTTCTGGCCAATAAACATTCAAGATAATGAGACTTGACAACATATCTCGTGGCATAACATCCAATAAAAACGAGCGAGGTAGAACTCGTGCTAAAGACAAAAAATATAGAGCTGTAAAGCGATACAGAGAAACTCTGCTTCCGTTGCTCGTGAGTTCGAAGGGCAGTGTCATTCCGTCAAAAAAATGTGACCAATGAGACCCCAGGTTGAAGAGGAAGGATCACGTTCTTGCTGGGGCGGAGCGGGGGGGGGGCGGGGCGGGGCGACGACGACGATGAGCAGCAAACTCATCAACTTTGTTACGTAAATTATACGTATCACCCCACCCCTAAATTATAGAACTAGAAACTATAGAGAAGCTTTCCTCATCCTCGCCAACTTACGATGTGTGGACCTCAACTTTCACAATTTCTTAGCCAACAATACTGAAGTCCACATAACTTAAAGTTGCCGAAATTAAGAATCACTGCTGTAGAGTGATATGCACTTTGCCCCTTTGCTTGAAACTAAAAGCCGCTGTTTTTCACTTCCATGTTGGACGGTCTCCCACACCGCCCCACCGCCCCGCGCTAACATTGCCATTGAGCCCACAGTAATATCGCTCTGACCTTGTCTCTTCTATAGAAATTGTCAATTTATTCGCTTGTCTTAAGAGTTAGGCATAAAAAACATGAAATGAGTTTCTTTTTTTTTTTAAGTGTGGGTTTTTTGACATAGACCGGTAAAAGCAGGAACTATGTAAACAGGAAGTGCCCAAATCAGAGGTGGGACGGTGCCTCTTCTTTTAGGGACCGTTTTCGCTGAATTTCTCAGGATGCCGGTTATTTCCTTACGCCTTTGAGAAAGAGGCTCAAGTGTTAATGCTGCCTTCTAAATGGAAGTAGTTAGGTTGGAAATTTAGCTGGAAGAAGCGACGTTCAAAGAAAGCTCTGGAGAAATAAATGTCATCTGTCAAAGCCCTTATCGGTGCTGAAGAGAAAGGGGAGATCTGTCTAAAATAAGGCTTAATCTATAATGAAGAATTGAAGTTTTACGGTCCAAAACTAAGAGGCTGGATCCCATTAAGTAAAATCTGCTTGTGAAATGAACACCGTGTCGGGGAGGTCTCGCCCTGTGAGGTGAGTCGAACGAAAGAAGGACGGAAAGGCCAGAGGCAGCCCGGATCTGTTCCTGCTCTTCGGACCTTCTGATAGTTTTGAGACGACCTTTCTGTGTATTAGACCGGGGATCCAATCGTCCTCAGGCAGCAGTGAAGGAAGCCCAATTAATCTGTTTATAGTCTGATTACCTGTCTGGTTTTTTATTCATTCATTTCCAAATGAATCATCTAAGCTATGAAGTTGACAGCCATTCTCTGTTACATTTAATGCAGCTGTTCCAGGGAGTCTTATCCCTTTCAAAATTCCTGTTCAGATTTTTGTCGTAAAATAGAATTGCCAATGCTAAAGGAACTCTTAAAATTAGCAACGAGGAAATTATGTGTTAACCAAATGTAACTGGAAAAAATGTTATCATTATCTTAGCAGATTTGTAGAATCATTATCATTGGTTCCTGTTTATCTAATGTTGGATGAAGAAATTACCACTGATGTTCAGAAATGATTACATTAATTCTACTTATTAGTGAATATATTCAGAAGATGATTAGGCAGCTTGGTGCCTTCAAAGTACTTCAGAATTCACTCATAATTAACAAGAATGTTAGTGACTTTAAGGCAGTGGCTATCCAGCATCCTAAATCATATTTTGCCTAAATATTAATAAAATCCAATTGACTGAGTTCCAGCAGTATCATAAATCATTAACCATCATTTACCAATCACAGTGGCTAAGCCTGCAGAGCATACTAAGTCGCAAACAAGCAAATTCCATTTTTGCTTAGTATATTGTGTAATCTAAGAATTGTTACACTCTAAACAGGATTTTTGAAGTTAGTAGTAATTATTAGAGAGGAAAATATAAGGTTATTCTAACAAAATACCACTTTATTAGCCCTGTGTAATGGGAGCAGCTGCAGCAGTACATAATTGGCCTTAGCTTATAAAAACTAAGTTCCTGATTATTACATGAGTGAACATCAGGAAATGCCAAATCTGTAGGACAGATTGGAAATTCAAGAAAACAACCAGGAAGAAGGGAACGTTCCATGACTTAATTTATAATGGGAACCTAGACAAATTTATGGTTTTAAGAAGTCAGACAGAAACCCAAATACTGTTGTTCCAATATAATTTGATGTCATAAGAATAAACATTGGGAAATTTTAATTGCTCTTTCTAAAAGTGGATGCTTGAAATGTTTTAACAGAAGAGATTTTTAAGTGCCAGCAGATGTCACTATTGTTCATTACAAATAATTAATGTTACAAAATGCACAGGAAAAAGAAACATTTTTATTTATATAGTACAGTACAGTTCTTATGTAAGTAATGCTATAATAAGCAGAGTGTTAAAATGATTACTATAACAATGTAATAAATTGAAGTGTTAGCAAAATATTAGGAGCTTTGGGGAACCTTAAAAGAGCCACTTTATTCTAGTCATTAAGGTACCAGGCTAGAACGCAGAAGACCATGAGTTTAAATCCAGTCTTAGCCCTGAAAGGCTGGGGGACCTTGGGCCAGTCACACACTCTCAATCCACCTCACAGGGTTGTTGTTGTGGGGAAAATAGGAAGAGGAAATGTTGAATATATTGTCGCTTTCAATTGTAAAAATAATAAAGATGAGATATAAATAAATAAAAATAATCAAGCTTAAAATTAAATCTTCAGAGATCTTAATTCACTTCATCACAGATATGGAAGGAAATCTCAGTCAGGGTTCATTGGGCTATGACTGTGTTCAGGACTAACAATATTACTAACTGGCCTACATCCTCGCTCTTGTTGAGTTTTTTTGAGTCTAATCTTTGATATTGATTTCCCCCCCAACAAATAGTTTAGTAGTCAACAAATTGGAGTATGCCATGTATGACAGAAATATTGTTTCCTGCTTGGTATCTTTGAAACAGCCACAGAGTGAGAGGGATATGATCTTTATGATGTGAATAGTGGTTAATATATATTTCTGTGATGTCAGCAGCAGTCCAGAAGTTCATTTATTTTATGTGAGTGAAGCTTAGTGCCAAAGAAATACTCCTTGTGTTACTCTGTGTGTTTGTTTACAACTGGGGGTTTTGACGTTGTTTTTTGAAAAACAGATGCAAATATTATTTTAAATTGCCTTTACAGGGATATTTAACATAAAAGAACATTATGATATATACAACAACTTTTGGTTTGCCTATATTAATGAAAAGTGCCAGAAGAATTCTTCCCTGCTGTTCTTCATACTTGTGCCTAAGACTGACAGCTATAAGATACTGCGTAATAAATGGGTAAGCTATCAAATATTATTACTGTGAAAATGAAAATATTAACATAACATTGGTATTACTTTCCTTTAAAAATTGAATAAAGAATTAGCTGCCAACTGCCATCTTCTAGAACATAGTATAATGAAATTTTGATCAACAAGTTGATTTTAGACTATAATTTTAAATGAATTGATTTTTTTCAAATTTATTAAAACAAATTATAAAACAAATAATAGGATGTTATATTAGTAAAAGCCCTGCAATGGAATTATATTCCCATATTCCTCTATAAATTGGGAGAAGACAAATTTCTTAAACACCAGCTAAAGGCAATAATCAGTTTAACTGGTTTGCAAAACAAAAGTGGCTTGACCTGATTCTGGAGCGGGGGGGTGGGGTGGGGTGGGGTGGGAAATTGCTTGATGCCATTCAGACTTCCATAGGGAAGATGTTGCAAAATAAATTGATCATAGCCTGATGTATCTTCTACTTTGAAGAGATTATAGGGATGGGGATCGGCGGACTGTTTTGTGTATTTTGGATCAGTGAATTCAAAGTGAGTGATAGTTCCTTTATGTTTTTAGTTTAGTTTAGTTTTATTGGTTTTGTATGCCGCCCACTCCCAAAGGACTCTGGGCGGCTTACAATAAAACAGGAAGCGGGGATAAATAAGACAATACAAGACAATACAACAATTTAAAAATACAGCAACATTCACAATTGAAGTGGGGCCGGATACTTCAACAGCCCCCAGCCTGCCAGAACAGCCAGGACTTAGTAGCTTTACGGAAGGCTGGGAGGGTAGTAAGGGTCCGGATCTCCACGAGGAGTTCGTTCCAGAGGGTCGGAGCAGCAACAGAGAAGGCCCTCCCCCGGGGGGTCGCCAGCCGACATTGGCTGGCAGATGGAATCCGGAGAAGGCCAAGCATGTGAGATCGAATCGGTCTTTGGGAGGTAATTGGCAGGAGGCGGTCTCTCAGGTACCCAGGTCCGATGCCATGCAGGGCTTTATGTAATTAAATGGTTAGAATTCTGAATTAACTAGTTTATGCATCATCTTCACAGAAGTCTTATTTTAAGTTGTAGCCTAGTAGTAATAACTTTCCTCTATTCAGCAACAGCTGTAGTTGATCATCCAAAATTGGTAGAACTATTATATTTTTATAGTAAAGATATTATATTTTATCTGGTAGAGCTATTATATTTTAAAATGATATATATGATAAATTCATAGAAGGCAAAAGGTATTCCTGAGGATAATAATGTTTATTTGGGAAGTCTGCTTATGAAGATTGTGTGGATCGGGTACATCTTCTAAAAGTAAGTGGTTTTTTTTTCCATTAGAACATTTTTCGGTCTTGTTTAGAATTATACAGCTCAGTGATAAACCACATATATTTAAATAATCAAGTAAATGGGAGGGGGGGAGCAACTAGGCAGTACTGTATTATAGTATTTGCTCATCACTTGTTATTTCTTTAATTCTGTTATAAGCTTATCTTGTTTGGAGTGAAGCTGTTTTATTGAACAGTTTAGTACAGTTTTTCAATATTTAAAGCATGATTAAATGGGAGATGAAGGTTCTGAAATTACTATGGGCAGATATAATAAATTACTTTCTGAGATTAAAACATGTAATAAACATGATTAGTTTATTGCTGCTTAACAAAAGAGGTTTACAAGTAGTCCTTTATTTACAACCATTTGATTAATGATTGTTCAAAATTATGATGGCCTCAGAAAAACGACCTGGACTTAATGTCCTTTGTATCATCTCTGTGGACACTTGATCGCAGTTGGGATGCTTGATGATCAGCTCCCATTTACGACTGGTTTAAGTATCCTTTGGTCATATGTTTGCAATTTGCAACTTTTTTGCCAATTTGCTTGATGATCTCAAAATTTATTTAAGGCCACTGTAAAAATTGTAAAATAGAATCCAAATCAACTCACAACTGTAATAATTAACAATGAAAAGTCCCAATTGTGGTCTTGACCACACATCTATTTGTATATGCAATGAAATGAGATGGTGTGATATATGGATATAGATAAGATATAAGATAAGATTAGATAAAATAAAAAAAGATATAGATATGTATATTGTTTGATTTTTCTTGATTCTTTTATTTTTTGTTCTTATGATCCAGTCCATAGTTGGTACAACAGTACAAAGCAAAGACTACTTTAAAAATGAGTAATTAACTGAACAAGGATTAATATTAGCATTTATGATAATAAAATTATTAAAAAGTACCTAAGCTTGTTTCAAAATACATATTTTCTCTTTTAACAACCCATTCTGCTTCATGAATATAAGCTGGATAAAAAGGATTTGGGTTTTGTTAAAGATTCAGAAAATATAATGGATGGTCTTCATGCTTTAATAATGCTATGAAATCTTCTTGTTTAGAAGCAGTGCACTTCTAAGTATTAGATACTGGGCACTAATAGTATTCTCATGACTATTTGTTTTTTTAAAACTCTTCAAATAATGCAACCAAATTGCTGTTGAAAACAGTAGGCAATTACATAAATTTTTATCAGTTCAAGGGAGGAACATCATTCTAATGATACCATGGTTAGAAATCAATCAATCTGAAGTTACTATTTAAAAGGGTGTTCAGTGACCAGTTCAAGCTGCAAAATTATGTTGAGTAATGATACATCTTAGTTTACCTTATTTATAGCACAATGAAATCTAGAAGAAAATCAGATCATCTGGAGAGAACAGCAAATGACTTTCGACATGAGGTTGGTATTGTAGTATATGAGTATGAAATGTGCTATGTATGCTGAAGGTATTGGAGAAATTTGGTAATAATTTGACCCTTCTCTATAATCATCTGTTTCATCTATAATCTTTTGCTACTTGCTCCCTAGTCATCCATATCTTAGTTGTTACCTCCCTTTAGGATTACTGCAATGTTCTGTGCATGGAGCTGCCCTTAAAGACCATCTGGGAGCTACATGTGATGTAGAATGCAGTGGCATGCATGGTTTTGGGGGTCCCACAATTTACCTAAGTAACTCCACATTACTGTGGGATCACATTTCTCTGTGGATATTTGCCTATCCTATTAGTGATTAGTTTGGTACTTGAGGGAAGAATAGATGATGTTTTATGGATTATTGTGAGCCTTCTAGAGTTTGCTTACAAAATAAGTGCCATTGAAATAAAAAATGTAGCTAAAATAAAAAAGGAACTGAGAACATTGTTATTTCCAGATACAGGATGTAACAGTACTGATTCTTTCACTTTTTATTTATTTATCAAATTTATTAGGTCATCATCTAACTATTAACAATCTGAATGGCAAATATAAAGTAAAGCATTGACAATTGTAAAACACAAGTTGAGGCCCTCTTGTTGAAAATCTCAAAGGACATTCTCACCTTACATCTATGCTAGGGCTCAGATTTAATAACTTGTTTCCTTCTGAGTATTGGCAATATTGGGGGCCATCTATATCTTTATCAAGAGAGTGTATTGCAGCTCTTCTATAGCACAAGTGCCATGACAGAGAAGGTTCCTAGTACCTACCTAGTAACATTGCTTCACTAGTGGCACTCTTCATTTCAACTGGTGCATGCCCATTCTAACCGAGCTAATGGGATAAGTAGAAACCCTTAGGGAGAAGTCCTGCAAATATCCTGGCTCCATGCCACAGAAGAGCTTAAAGGACTTAAACTCTGACCATACTAACTAGGTGTATGAGTGAGTATTCTTGCTTACAAGTGCCCTGTATGCATATTTTGCTTTTTCAATATGAGACAATGGGTTGCAAACTTAGAAGAATAATATTTTTTATGATTTTGGTCCTCAGCTGCATTAGAATGTATATTTCTAATTCTTGGAAACTGTGGGAATAAAAATATTTTCTGACATTAGAGTCATTTTGGCAAGATAGGCAGCCATATAAATCAAACAAATAAACATTTTGGGGATTATTTACAAGATTCAGTTCAGAAATCAGTTATAAGTTAATGTGACATATTAAAGTTAGACTTATTCTTATTCTGGGGTTTTTGTGGTAAGGAGAATATTATATGACATCATGAGAGCAGATCAAATTAAGAAATAAAACTCTTTCTTAAAAATATAAGTATTAAAATAAGAAAAAGTAAGGTAGCATTTACTTGGCAAGTATCCTGTTGTTTTACAAGACAGTAGAAATGCTCAACTATTTTTATTCAGAAATTCATTTCCTGCCATATGTTTTAAATTAAGACATAGCTGGCCAAATTTCATTTGTTGGACTCCAGTTTTTCTGGCTGGGAAAGGAAATACTCATAATTGTAGTTCGATGTACTTTATCATTTTAACATTTTCTGTACTTTTGGACTTGCATAACTCATCTTAAGAACTTTAGGTTTAAACCTATTAATACAGTATGTTCTGTAGTTTAACAAACAATTCCAAGCTATATTTTATAAGTTGATTGCCATACTATGAAAGTCAGAGGAAACAAAGCAGAAAACAAGAGAACAAAATGCTATCCCTGGACTGATTAGAAGTTATATTAAATCTATTGTTGGCTATGTTCCAAATGATTTGTCCCACCCAGCCATGAAGCTTGTAGATGGTCTTGAGTCATACAATCTGTTTTGTAACACTGCTGTCAGAAAAATTGAGAGGGGGAAGGAGATTGGGGATGGTCGCAGAGGAAACAGTGTAGTAAATATCTAATAAAACATAATAAAAGGAAATTATTTTGCTTTAATAAATTGGTCTATGGTTATTCAGAATGATGCTTTTATTTCAATCATGATTTTATTGCTTTCCCTGAGAATAAAGAAGCAGTTTTTTTCATCAAGAGCTGCATTTTTAAACTTTGTGCTTTTAATCTGAGAGCTGCAAAAGGCATGCCAGAAATGGGGCTAGAAGACTTCGGATCAGAATTTTCCACCTCTTTTTTTAGTCTCTTAGGATTAATAAATAAATATGTGTATTAGTGTCATTCAGTAGTGGGTTTCAAATTTTTTTAGAACCTCTTCTGTAGGTGTGGCCTGCTTTGTGGGAGTGGTTTGCCAGCCATGTGACTGGGTAGGAGAGGCTTGCCAGCCATGTGACCGGGTGGGAGTGGTTTGCCAGCCATGTGATTGGGTGGGCGTGGCCAACTTGTAAAATGTGGTGAAACTCACTTAACAACACTCTTGCTTAGCAACCAAAATGTTGGCTCAGAAACTGGCATTTGAAGCAAGTCTTTTTTTTTATTTAAAATTTTTTATTTTCAAAACAAAAATACAAATCCTTCTTCTTTACATACTGTAGAAAGTGTATCAGTTGGTTACAAAAGGCTTTTATGCATCTCTTCCACCGTCATCAAACATAATTCATATTAATTAAAGCTTCAAAGTTACAAGATCCTTGCACCCTAACCTTTAGAAAAAAAAAACCCAGGGGTGTTCAAACTTGACAGCTTTAAGACTTGTGGACTTTAACTCCTAGAATTCCTCCTCTCGCTCTTCATCTTGATGATGTGCGGATGGGCAGGGGGAGGGAGCTGGAACCGGTTCTAAACAGCACTGTAGATTTGTGGAACCTCTTCTATAGAAGAGGTTAGAACTGGCAGGAACCCACACCTGGTGTCATTTGAATACAAATGTCCATGTTGTATTTCTGTTAAAAGGACAAAAATTGGAACCGGCTTTATATAGATTCATGTAAAGATCTTGAAATTTGTAGATGAATTTCTGGTCTAAAAATGTTAAAGCCAAAGGTGAGGAAGGTGTGAGTTTAATCTTTTGTAAGTTGCCCTTAGTCATATGTGAAGGGATGTTCATAAAAACTGAATGAATGAATGAATGAATGAATGAATGAATGAATGAACGAAGAAAGAACAAACAAACAAACAAACAAGCCTAGTCTTTGCTCGTTTTTGAATTCTTAATCTTGTTAAAGACTCAGCTTCATTATCTGCAATGAGATTAGAACTTAAAATTTGTATAAATGTGAAATAGTGCATGTAATAATAGTAGCAATATAAGAAGCCAGAAGAAATCATAGTTACCCCAATTCATGATTGGAATTTCATGCTTGGAAGGATCCAGAAACAATTATTTTCTATGCTGAATTTTATGTTTATTACCTGAAAATAGTGGTGATACTTATGATGATTTTTGTCTTTTTAGATTATTTCTAAAGCAAAAGTGTGTGGCATCATCAATGAATCTGAAACAGTTAAAAGACTTCGTTTGGCAGTGACAGATAAGGAATTTACTTTTAAGGCAGGACAATGGTAAGATTCTTTGATCTGTATGTATTAAATAGAAAGAGAAGTTAATGAAATAAATTGATGGTACATTTATACCTATTATTGACATCAAATTATTTCTGTTTATTACAGGCACATGCAAATGTTTAATTTAGTCATCTTTGAATGAAGTGATTTGCCCTAATAAAACAAATAGAATATATTTCATTTGCAGCAATTTCCTCACACGTTGTTTAGCCTTGTATCTCTTTTGAAATGGTTGTACATAAGCATTCTTTAAACTTTCCCTACTCTACAAAGAGAATTCTGTTTTATTTGCGCTATCACAAATGGTCAAAGCTATATAACTATTTCTAAGTGAGTATCATTGAGAAACAACAGCATGTGCATAAGAAATTTCATTTGAAAATAAAAGGATTTCCAAAAGTAATAAGATGTAAGATAATTTGCTGTTTGAGAAAGAAAAAGACAATAGTTCTACTTTTATTTTGTTTCTCTGTAACCTAATCATTGGATTACATTCTGTGATATTTTCAGTGGGATGGATGGATGCATGGAAGGAAGGAAGGAAGGAAGGAAGGAAGGAAGGAAGGAAGGAAATATGCTCTTCCATTTTTAGAAGAACCTCTCTAAAATGAATTAAAGTCTCTAGTATCTAACCTCATAGGATATTGATTAGAAACAAGTAGAGAAGATTTAATCATGGAACTTACTTGTGATTTTGGCCACTGATTGTTGCTCAGTTTTATTCTAGATCACAGGGTTTCTGCAAGGATAAAATAATGATAGATTCCATATATGCTGCCTTGTAGAATACTATACAATGATATAATCTTTAAAAAATAGAATGACAGTATTTTTTCTTGTCCACATATTCAGGAAAATTACAATTATTTTAATCATATAAATCTCTTCAAGATCTGAATGTTTTCTCTCAAAAATTCAGATACAATTTTATATCAATTTTTTCAGTCTGGTCAGTGTTTTCTTGTTCTTTTTTGCTTTTACTTTACATTATCAATCCATCTGGCAAGTGTTATATAAGATCAAACTTTATCAGTAGGATGTTAATAGCATGAGTTACTAGTAGTGTTAATTTTGCAGTCTTTTGCATTTAGAACAAGAAAACAAGATGCTGATTGCAATAATTCATGTTTGTAGAGCAATTTGCAGCACCCTTTGCACATGTGCACAGATGCATACTAAATTTGTGCGTGTTGTTCTTAGGCAAACATTTACCCTTCAAAAATGTTTTGGTAATCATCATACTGAAAACTGGGTTCTTTAATTATAATTACTCTTTTCATTATCTTCCTTTTAAATTATTCTAATTCTGTTTGGCATGCTAACGTTCCACCAGTGCAGCTAGCAAGATTGCTTATGATCAAATGAATAGTACTGAGAAAAAGAACTGGGGGTATGGGGGGGGGGGTGTTAATAGATTTACATTTGCGATGGAATGGCTGGAGGTCTCCTCTTCCTTAAAGATGTGCATTTTTTCCCTCAACGAATATTTCTGTCACACAGAGGAGCTACATAGTTATGGTCATGCCTACGTTCTGAAATTTCTGGCTTTACAAACTGATGCTTTGTTGAAAGTTCATCACAGTACCTATTATACTATTGAATATTCCAGTGTGTTCAGCAATTATCTGTGATATTGTAAAGATTATATTTCTGTCTACTTGTTTTTAAATTGTCTCAATTTATTTGCTTATATGTTTATTACAAAGTATTGTTGCTTGTTTTATTTTCAATTAAAATTATATATTATGAAATTTGAGATTTCGTTTATATGAACATTTTTTCAAACATTTCTGTATTTACAACTAAAATATAGTTTATCTAGAAAATAGATAAATAAGGGGCATGTATAACACCAAAAGTAAGATAAAGTCTGATCTGTAGTTACTCGGAAAAATTATCTTTCATTTATTTAAAAGTACAATTTATCAGTGCATTTTATGCCCAATAAATGCATATTAAATTTCATCCATACATATGCAAATACATCATTTAGATTTGGTTATGTAGATGATAAAATCATTGACTTTGACATTTAGAAACTAGACCGTTTCTGTTGAACTGCATAATGAGATAGGACATCGTGTATGAAAATAAAAGTGTTGTCTTTTATCTATATCCTGCCTTTCACTTGGAAGCTCAGGTAATATAAGACTCCTTCCTATTTTTCCTTACAATAATCCTTTGTGGTAAGTTGGATTGAGAGAAAATGACTGGCCCAAATACACTAAGTGAATTGCTCTGGTGGAGAATGGAGTAGAACTTGTTTCACTTTGCCTACAGTCTAATATTTGTTAATATTAATGTCGATATTTAGATGTAAGGAGTCTAACACATGAGAATTGCTCCCAGAAATGCAGTTTTAAATGCTAATTCATTTTAATGGAGGAAAAAAACCATGTCCAAGGGGAGTTGGGGAACTCCCAACAAGTAATTTTTGGGGGAAAACATTTAACCAAAAAAAGATCTCTGGAGGGCTTAGGAAGTATTCTAGAATATATTATATATAGAATCTATTTCTTCTCTAATCAAGTTTCTGTTCATAATCTGTTGATAGACTGTTTTATATAGCACATTTGTTCTGCTTAATTATGAATAAATGCATATAAATAACATTTATATGCATTTAGTTTTATAAATACCTATAGCTTTCTGTACAGAATATATTAGCTGTTATTAGTGTATGTAATTAGTGAAACACTTTCTGCAGACTTCTAACGTGGGGGAAAGCAAATGTCAGTCTTGTTAGATTTACTTCGCTCCTTTTTTTAGAACCCAAAAATTTACTGTAGCAAATGCAAAAGATACACAATTAGAAAGAAGTACCTGGGAATCCAGTAACTTATTTCAGGTAGCAAATCAGCTCAAAATTCTGGTTATTCCCCTATGTATTTATTAAAATCAAAAGGTCCTTATCTGTCTACTTCATTGAAATAAAGATCCATCAAAAAATCCTCGAGGCTACCTCTCCTTAAAAAAAAGATTCTAATAACTTTATCTCCAAGTTGTTTTATTTACAAAGAACTGAATTTTTATAATTATGTTGCACTGATCTTACTCTTATCCCTGTGGACATGTAGAATTCATGATTTGTTGCATAGAATAAGAATCTTATAAAATTCTGCCTTCCTAGAAAATCTTTAGGAACATATGCTTCTTTGGTCATTTGTTTTTAACTTTTTATGTTTAATTTAGATGTAACTATAAGCTATGTATAGTCTTCTTTTCTACTTCTGGATGCCAGTAGCATTATAATGATTTGTTCTGTAAATAAATCTGTTTTAATTATAGTTTCGCATTAGGTTCCACAAGGTTTCAAGTAATGAAGGAAACAGTAATAATATTCTAAGATAAATGGTATCAGGTCCAGATAAATGGTATCAGGGTTGCTGGCTTTTAATTGGTTTACAAGTTAGCAAAACAAGGCATTTTGTCAAAAGAAGACAGATTAAACTTTGAGTTCACTTTGCACTAAATTTGAACTTTCATATATGTTCGTAATTTGGTTTTACAACGTTTAACAGGCAGAATCATTCCTCACTAGAGGGCACTATAATGCAGCTTGCATGGATTAATTTATAAGGATTATAAATGTGTTAATAAAATACAAATAAATAATTGCACATAATTTAAAGTACTTTTTCTTAAATATTATTTTTTTAAACTAGATTAAAAACTGGATTAAATTTAGCAGTATTGACAAAATTAGAATTAAACTTTTGAAAACACCAGGCAAACATATCTCTGGTAGATGGAAATTATCTATTTGTAAAGTGATTCAGGTAGAAATAGGTTGGATGACAATGTAATATTCTTAAAATGAAACTTCACATATTAAGAACATGCTATCAGTACATGTTTTGTAACATTGCTGACAAAATAACTTTTTAACCATGTATATTTGCCATTATGACTCAATTACAATTTTATGTTTACCAAAAAAAAAAAAAAATTCTTTCCACTCACTTTATTTCCCTTTTTACATTATTTATAAGGCTGCTTACTTATATGTTAAAAATTGTAAACTACTTTGATTGCATTGACCAAAAACAGAGATATGTGCATAGTAAATTAATAAGATTCAGACATTTATTCTTTACTCAATAAACCAATTGAAAATTTTGTTCAGAGTTTTCTGTTATGGAAAATTTTAGACGAGTTACTGAGTTATCATTGTTATTCCCCAAACAGTGATTTCAGTGGGAAGAAGTTTAATTGTTGCCTCTCAGCATCCAAACCTGACTACAGGCAATTCTTGTCTTATGACCAAGTGATTAATATCTGTTTGAAATTACAATGGTTCAGAAAGAATGATTTACACTCTGTAGAGCACTTCCAGCCACGGTTAAATGTCATGCTGGCCCCCCACCCCCATGATCACTTGAGTATGATCTAGATACTTCTGTTCACACTTATAACCGGTTGCCAAGTACTCCACAATCATATGATTTCCATCTTTACAATTTTCTCTACTGAGTTTCCCAGAATGTCAATGGAGAAGGTAGTAGGGAAGGTTACAAGCTGCCGCCGCCTGCCAAGAGGACTCATTCTCATGTCCAGGGGCTGGCTGAAAGAGCTGCCTGCCAAGAGGAGCTGAACTCCTTCAATGCAGTGGGAAAAAATAGAATTAAGGTCCTAATTATTTGAGCTTTGCTTCTGTACCAAGCTGAAGGAATCCTTTTCTGTGCACAGAGCCGATATTTCCCATGGGGTGCAGAAACAGAGCTCAGAGCCTTCATTTCTGCACCCTACTGACATGTTCCCTTACACATGTAGAGTGGAGCTTAATTCTATGGCAAGGTAGAGAAACGGAGATCAGATTCTGATGACTCCATCCCTGCAATCGGAAGTGCTTGGATTGTGACCATTGACACACCAATTACATGGACAGACTTGTGACAACTCATTTAGCAACCACTTTGTTCAACAACCGAGATTCCAGGCTCAGTTATAGTTGTAAGTCAAGAACTACTTGAATGAATACCAAGGACTTTAGCAAGAACTTATGCTACTATGATTCATATTTGTGCATCTGAAAATATTACTATTTGATCTGTTCTGTTGGTCTTTAATGGTATTTTACCCATTGTTGCTTTACTAGCTAAATATCTTCTATGTGAGTTTCCTTGAACTTTGCCTATACAAATAATAATGTAAAATCTATATAATTAATTAACTTTACATAGCAAGGTTCTAATAAAATATATTATTTAATATATATTAAATATATTTAATATATTATTAAACTATACATTTGAATAATTGTGTCAGATGTTTTGAATAGTAAAAAGGAAACCTATTCTAGGACATTGCATAGAAGAAATTAAAAGGAAATTTATTTTCTTTTAGGGTAGACTTCTTTATACCTGGAACTTCTGTAGTTGGTGGATTCTCAATGTGTTCAAGTCCTGGTATGTTGGAAGAAGAGGGAATATTAGAACTTGCAGTAAAACATACAACACACCCACCTGCTCACTGGATTCATACTCAGGTATTTATAACTAAAAGCTCCTAATAATTTTGGTTTTAATGTTCTTTAAATTTATTTTTACATCTTTATTACTAGGAGCTGTATTGTAGCTTTATATGTAATGCAGTATTATTATTACTTTGAATTGTCTTACGCTTTTATGTGTACTATAAAACATAAATTACTGATGGAGTGTAGTATAATGTGTATTAGTTAAATGCCATACCTGTCATTGCAATTAAACATGAAATGATCTAGACACAAAAGAAAAAAAACTGGTCTGTACATTGCTCTTCATAAAACTTTAAAACTGTATAAATGTAACATTTTATCAACATGTAGTACAAACTGTATTTAACTAATGTATATCATTTTGGATTGACCTGTTGTTCTTTCACAAATACAAAATCTCTGCCAGAACATGGTCCTCCTATACAAGTCTTCTCTCGTTGAAATATGTAAGTGTAGTGGCAAGTGGGATATTTCAAAAAGCCCAGTAAAATGGCAGAAATTAACTAATACAAAATTAGACTCATTTCCATTTTAAAAACAAACAATTATGAAGTGATAACCAGAAGGAAGGCTAGGCTTATTTTTTGTGATGTTGCTAGAACACAAAGGTGTCAGAAAGTAGCCTCATTGACCAATGTTCAAAAAGCAAGGAGTCTTGTTATATCTGAAATACTAATGCAATTGTTATCACATAAATTCCTATATATAACACCCTCTTTATCAGATATATTTAAAGTCTTGGCCTGGGACCTATGAAAGTTTACAGGAAAAAATAGGTTCAATTTTTAGGTGCCACAAGTTCACCTTTTTGCTCTAGAAAAACTGCTGCCCACTGAAAACTATTCCAGAATGTTCATGGATTGTTTACCCCTTTAAACATTTTCACTACCAAACTATGGTTTATAAATGATAATTCTGTAAAAGATAAGCGAGGTGGAGGGGACATTTATATGTGCTGTGTTATGAATATATGCTTTTCTTCTGTTTTTGTTGACTACTAGGTCAGTGTAAAATCAATGCAGTCTTATCATTAGAGCAATTCTCTCCCGTTCTCTGCCTTTCTTCATCTCCCAGGTTGCTTCTAATCCATCCATTACCATATGCCCATAAAAAGTATCCTACTGTTCTTAAATAGGTTACTTTCATGCACCATTGAAATTTCAATAAAATAATTGACTGTGAAAAGTATTCAGAAAATGTATAGAACCAGTGTGGCTCAACCACACATTCTTAGACAAATCCTGGTGGACATTTTCTATCACATCTCTGCTGTTCATTAGGGAACTCCAAAAACTAACCTCATAATTATCTGCCTCAGAGGCATTTCCTAGGACTTTTCTTCCTGCCTTAATATTTTAAATTAAACTCATAGTATCACAGTAATTAAAGCAGTTTAAAGCATTAGCTAATGCTGGAACTGCTAGTTATCATTAAGATTTTTTTTTATGCCAAGTGTCTGAATGATCTCATGTGGAGAAATTACAAGCCTATTCCTTTTAACAGAAATAGAGAAAGTATTTAGAAGCGATGACACAAATATAAGCCATTTTCATAACCTATTTTCTTCTGAGAAGACGTTCTACGAAATAAGCTTAAAGAAACTTGGTTTGATTTAAATATATCTCATAAAATCAACAAAGAATGAAACCATATATTATTATTACTCAAAACCAATCAACTAAGTAACATTTTCACAATTGAAGAATGTGTAGATTGCACTAACTTGATTTATTTTGCAGTAAACTATGTTGACCCACTAACATGGCTTTTCAGTTAAAATAATTTCCCTCTCTGATTTTCTTTGAAATCCATCTTTTTTATTGTTGTTTTTTGCTTTTTTTGTTCTTCCCTATAGTGTGCTCTTAATTCAGAAGTGGCTTTGCGAGTTGGAGGCAACTTCTTTTATGATCCTCGGCCTAAAGACATTCCAGCAAATGTTGTGCTCATAGCAGGTGGAGTAGGCATTAATCCTTTATTTTCTATACTGCTCCACATCGTAGACCTTCACAGAACTAAAGAGAAGAAAGGAAATGATTGCAAAGTGGGAACAACCAAACTCTTTTATTGTGCAAAAAATGCACATGAACTTCTGTTCAGGGTAGGTTTATTATATAATATTGCATAATTTGCTATAATGGCTACAAGTCTTAACTTTTTTTAAAAAATTGAGAAGTCCGGAGCTACAGTGAATACGAGGTTGATGCAAAGTTGGTGGGGCTGTGTCATACACATAGGCAGGAACAGAATTTTCTATTTTGGTGGGCAGGTGGAGTTTTTAGTTAATTTAAGGCTTACACTAATAGGTTTTCAAACTTTGTGCACCCCAAATAAAACTAATGATCATAATAGGCAAGAAACAATTATAATCATTTATTTTTATTATGTTGTTAAACTATGTGGTACTTCAGCTGCTTCACTTAAAATGAGGAGCAAAGCCCAGAATGAGGCTTTTCACTTGATCTTCACAAGTTTGATTGCATTTTTTAAAAATGTAACTTTGCTTCCTCAAGAGATCCCAACATATTTAATACTCTTGGTTTTATATATTCCTTGTCTTTCCTGCTTCAAAATGATTGTTGTAATCAGAGGGAGCATTGGGAATTACAAAGTAGGAGTTCAGGCCTATATGATGTTTGGGACATCAAATTGCTCACTGTACTGTTGCTACCAGTGGTGGGATTCAAATAATTTAACAACCAGTTCTCTGCCCTAATGATCGGCTGGGTGGGCGTGGTCAACTTGATTGGTCTCACCCTTAGGAAATTTCTCCTTAGTCCAACTCACAATAAAATAGCACAATAAAATAGCACTATAACAATATTTAGAATTGAAAGTATATTCTAGGTAAGGTGGAGAAACCTGCACGGGCTTAGATTAAAAAGTAGTTACTATTTTTTGACAATGTGTTTGTATAACTGAGCTCCACTATAAGGAATTGTTACCTGAATTTGAAAATAGAAAAGAGGGAATTAGTTATGCTACTTTTTTCTTAAGATGGGTGCTCAAAATACAATATTCTTAAACTATTCTTCAAATTTGTAGAATCTGAACTAAACAAACAACACATCTGCTTTGATTTATTTAACTGTGGTATGACTGAATATCTTGCACATTCCAGAAAGAGATTCTTGCTTTGACAAATGCATTTCCTGGAAAAATCACATGCAGTTTCCACGTTACCAAGCAGAATTCGCCAATTTGTGAGAAACTTCTGCCTTACATCAAGGGTGTGTATTTTTGCAATGCATTAAAAAAATTACATGACAAGTTGTAGTTTTAATACTATGAGAACCAAAGTAATTATAGCATGCAGGTAGTTCTCTCTTAATGACCTTAACTGAGACCAGCAACTTTGCCTCTAGGCAAAGTGGTCACTAAATGGGAAATCACATGATTAACTCTCTTGAGGTTTCTTCCTCTCTAATTTTTCTACTCTGCCAGAGGGCAAAGAATAATAGAATAACAGTTGAAAGGGACCTTGTAGGTTGTCTAGTCCAATCTCCTGCTCAAGCAAGAAGCCCTATACCATTTCAGACAAATGGCTGTTTAATCTCTTCTTAAAAATCTCCAATGTTTGAGCAACATCTGGAGATAAGTTGTTCCACTGATTAATTGTTCTAACTGTCAGGAAACTTCTTCTTAGTTCTAGGTTGCTTGGAATAGGTTGACCCCCACTTCTTTGTGATAGCCCCTTAGATATTGGAACACTGCTATCAGGTCACCCCCTAGTCCTTCTTTTATTATACTAAATATACTCAATTCCTGCAACTTCTTTTCATATGATTTAGCTTCCTGTCCCCTAATCATCTTTGTTGCTCTTCTCTGCCCCCTTTCTAGAGACTCAACATCTTTTTTTATATCATGGCGAACAAACTAGATACAATATTCTAAGTGTAGTCTTACCAAAGCATTATAAAGTGGTGCTAACACTTCATATGATCTTGATTCTATCCCTTTGTTAATGCAACCTTAGGACTGTGTTGGCTTTTTTGGTGGTTGCAGCACACTGCTGGCTCATATTTAACTGATTGTCTAATAGGACTCCAAGATCCCACTTGCAGTTATTGAGCCAAGTACCATCTATTCTATATTTATGCATTTGGTTTTTCTTGCCTAAATAAAGAACTGTTTTTATCCTCCTTGAATGTCATTGTGTTAGATAGGGTCCAGTGTTCAAATCACTTCTCGGACTTTTGGCTAAGATCAAGTGTAGTGTAAATCTGTCAAGATCTTCTGTATCTTGAGCTTCTCTTCTGGAGTGTTGCCTATTTCTGCCATCTTGGTTCATCTGCAAATTTGATGAGTTTCCCATTTATCCCTTCATCTAAATCATTGATAATTTCTATACACAATCTCTTTTTTTCATGACCCCATCCCACTACTGATGTGATTGTTGTCATTTGAAAGAGAGGAAATAGTTTACTCTTTGTAATCTTTTGCTCTCCAATCTCTCTGCTCTACTGAAAGGGGGCAAGGTAAAGTAAAGGAAACATAGGCTAAAGAAATCATTTGCTTTTTCTTTGTCTTCCCTCTCACATAGCGAAGGGCGGGAATGTAAAAAAAAAACAGGTCAGACTCAGCACAACATGTAGGGACACTGTAAATATCATAAATGAGCTATTAAAGCTACTCCCCCCCCCAGCATTGTTAACTTTAAATGGTCTGAACAAATGGTTGCGAAATGAGGACTATAAAACATCTAGAGAAGGGAATTCCTTATGCAAACTATGCATGTTTATTGAAAAATGTGTCATTGTATCGACAACATGGCATTGGAACAATAAGGATCCTTATTCTGAGTAGGGATGTCATGTTTAAGAAAGTTAAGAGTTTTCAAATGCAGTTAATATGTTTTTCTTGCTGTTGACTCTTATTAAGATATATGGATAACCCTTTACAGATATTTCTTTTAATGATTGATTCAATTTCCTTGCTAGATGGATTAAAGAAAATGTTTATTGTAAATGTTTAATTTGGTATTATATTATTAACAGCAATTAGAGTTTGGCTAAACCATAAAAACTATAAACACATTTTTGTAAACTTTCTGTAAAAGCAGAAAAGGACCTAACTAGCATCTTACTTTCTCTTTGTAAATTATTGAATACTAAGCAAGCATTGGAAAGGGACACTTCCATGCATTTTGACATGGTTGAAGCATCTTTTAAAATCTTAAAGTAACGGGTTCCTCTGGAATTCTTGTGTGGCTTCTTTAAAGAATCACCCAGTTGTTTTAAATGGATGCGTATGCACTGCTGCTTCATTAGTTCTAGCAGAAGTGTGATCCATGTAAACTCATGCCTTCTGGAAGATCTGACTGCTGTAACAATTCAAGGAGAAAATGCTTTGCTTATGCCAGCATGATTTATGAAGCTCCCATTTCAAATGATTAGCATAGTTCTATTAAATGTCTTCATAAATGTTTTCTTAACTCTGTGTATTCTCTACTAGAAGGAAGATTATCTGGAAGTGACCTAGAAAAATGTATCTCCAAGAATACTTTGTGGTACATTTGTGGACCACCTCCAATGATAGAATCCATCTCTAAGCTGCTTGAAAACCTTGGGGTGATTCAGAGCAATATTTTCTTTGAAAAGTGGTGGTAGCACATCCAGCAGCATTCCAGACAAAATAAGAATGAAAACATAATATATGCATGTTTGCTGATGAACACTGAAAGTTTACACAAAGTAAAAATTTTCCATTTGTGGAAATAAAATAATTCATAATGAAATTATAAAATTTATTTTTAACAAACAATTTGGAAAAACAAATAGGAAACATGTTAAATTTGTCCATGTACTGAGCAGTGACAATTTATAAAAATAAATATTTTATTAAATATTTTATTAACTTTGGTATGTAATATATAGGTATATAACTAAATATTATATATGTAAGATTTCACTACATACAGATAAGAGAAGAAGAATGACTTGAAATCTACGTCGCCTCATATGGGAAGGACAAACTTAAGATAAAAGGATGGAATTCATCTATCCATTTCTGGTCTACCTTGTATTTTCTATTGAAGACTGTTTGAAAAGTAAAAGATGTTGCTTTTGAAGCTTCTTGTATTTTCAGGAACAAGATTTCGCACAAGGTTATTAATAAAGTTCTGAATGTACATTTCAGTAATTAGATTGGATTTGAAATTAATTGTGCTGTGGTAGAACCACTACAATCAATAAAATGAGATAATTGAGTCATGAATAAATGAAGTGCTGTTAATTTCCAGTGGTTTACTCAAAACATGATGGAATCTGGATCCAACATATTTCCATAATATTATCTCTTTATCAATTTTAGTTATGGAACTTCATTTGAAATAACATTATAGACTGACCTATTTCTGGTCATAAGCAGCACACACACTGTGCACCACATACAGTGGGTCAAACTTGGAATTATTCTGCTGCATCAAGGTTAAAAAATGTGCCATCGTTATAAACTTAGCTAAAACAGGTCTAAGCAGTTTTATTTGGAAGAAAATCTTATTGGTTTCAATGAAATTTACTTTGAAATATTAAAATTGGATGTTTAGCATTTTCCAGAAGCCACTTGGCTTGACTAGCATATATTGAGACAACGTAGTTCATAATGAAGGGAAGCTGCCTAAGGGTCTGCACTGCTACTGTGGTAGCGGAACTACAATTTTGAGTTTAACTAAAGGTACTAAATAAATTAATATTGTGGTTTGATGGTATAATCTTAAAACAAATTTAATTATGCTGCTTTTCCTCAGAGTGGAATGCTATGTATAGTGTTACTTAATGGAATGGAATGGAATGGAATAAGTTTATTTATAGCCCGCCCTTTTCCCTACTTGTCTGTACTATAATAATTGCAACGAATTTAAGAGAACCCAAATACAAAAGAACCAAAAATTTGTGGTGAGAATTCTGTTTAGTGCAATGTGCTGTTAATGTTTTCTCTTATGGAATTGTGTCTTACAACATTAGATACTAAGTAGCTTATATTGTTTTGAAAGGGGCCTAGATAAATTAAGTAATATTGTCTGTCTTCCATACATTATGATGATTATATGGAACCTCCATTGAAGAGTGCATTGAATATTATCTCTATAAAAGAGCATCATTACAGACCCTTTGGGAAGCAAGATTTGGAGATTTGATCTGATCAGATGAACATTATGTTTATATAATTTGTAATAATATTGAAAATCTACATGGAATTGGTATCAGCTAAATCTTGGGAACAATCTTACTATTTGTTTGCTTGCCTCCAGAGTTTATAGGCTGTTTTAATGAACTATCCTGTGATATTCAAACACCCCTCCCCAATACATAATTTGGGCTAAGAACAAATATTTTTGTCAAATATTTATAGTCGCCCATCTCACAAAACATAACTCTGGGTAGCAATAACTCTTTGTTACAGACCAACCTGATATTACAATAACAGCAGTTATACCTTCACCAAAGGTCCACTGACAGGACATTGAGGTTGAGATCAAGGAACTGAATGTAAGACTGTTAACAAGACAATGGTTCTATGGACCCCAAGGGTGGCCGATTTACTGTCTCCTGCCACATATTCCCCTGCCCATTACATATTATTACATTAATATGATGGCCTGTCTTTATTCTCTTATAAGTTTCATTTCCCAAATCAAGCCCGCCCAAGACCCAGGAACACAAATCCATTCATCCATCCATCCTTTCTTCTTTCCTTCTTTCTTTCTTTCCTTCTGTCCATCCTATTTCTTCTCTCTTTTCCTACCCTACCCTTATTGCTACCCAGGGAGCAGGCAAGGTGAAATAGTTATGAATATTAAAGCAAAAACCAAACATTGTAAAAACCACATGAACCAATATTTATATCACAAAAATTATCTTCATTGTCTGGAAAAATGGTCACAGCAGTCCTGTATTATTATTTAAAAGACTTCTATCCTATTCAGTTTATTGCTAAAGTTAAAGAGGAATATGCCCTCATTGTTTGGTGGCTTTGCCTAATAAAGAAATTTTGGTTTCTCTCAGATTGTATTATGGGGTTATGTATGCATATTTTTGTAATATACAAAAATAAAAAAGGAGAGAAAACAAGTAGAAAAATACTAGTAACATGTAATCACATATATTAAACATCTATTTTACATACTATGTAATAAATCTTGATCAAATGGAATGATATTAGACAGTCTTTTGTTATGGAAATAAAGAGGGCTTTTTAGAGAAGAATAAATACTTCAGACTAAGATTTTAAATCCCAGGTAGCATATATAATTGTTGCTACAGCCCAAGCCCAGTATATTAAAGTTCAAATATTGGTAAACACATTTTTATTTTATTCTATTATGCCACTCAATTCCAGAAAGTTTCAGAGTTACTTTATAAAATTCAGCATCATGTTGACTTCTTAACCTCCCCTCCATTCATTTCTATAGAACTACATTAACAAATGTATGAATAATAAACATACTCTGAATTATCTGTAGACATGAAAAAAAGTTGAATAAATGGCATTATAGGAGATGAACCATTTTAATCTACATTAGTAGAAAACCAAAAGTTATTTGATGGCAACTTTTCTAACACATAAAAACACAAAAAGCTTATGTTTTATAATAAATTTATTATTCACAAAAATAATAGGCTTTGATTTTTTTGTAGAATCAATATATTTAGATTAGAAGAAAGATAAATTTTAATCAGTCGCTTAGGTTCTAGTCATCTCATCTGAGTTACTGCAGTGCATTCTACATGGGGCTACTGCTGAAGGCTGTTAGGAAGCTTACATAATACAGCTGCACAGACAATTCTGCGGGTTCTTAGGGTGGCCCATATAACATCTGTTAAATGAAGTTGCACCTCCTGCGATTTTGCTTCTGGGTATTCAAGGTATTAGCTATTACCTATAAATCCCTTTATGGCATGGGTCCAGTTTACCTCAAGAAACATTTCATCCCAATGGAATTGGCCTGTCTCATTTGTGCTGGCAGAAGGAGCATGCTAAAAACACCATTGACCAAGGAATTCCAGTTGGCAAGGTCCAGGAGAAAAGCCTTTTCTGCTACGGCTCCTGGCTTCTGGAACATCATACCTCGTACAATGCGATCTCCTCCCCATCCCTGGCTTGAACACCTGAAAGGGTGTTAAAACCTGGCTCAGCCAGTTGATCTAAGGCCAAGATGGGGACATGCCATTCTGGAGGTGGTTACTGGATTAAATAAAATAAAAATCCCATCATCATATATCCCACCCATCTTAGCAATTGATTAATTTGCATCTATATCTTACTGTTTAATTCTTTAAAATATTGTTTTATCGGGGTTTTAGCTACCCAGAGTCATATGATGGTGAGGGAAGGCATATATATTTAATAAATAAATAACTTTATTATTATCAAATATCCCAACACCTTACTCCAAAATTACTGCAATAGTTATCCTGATAATATTCTTTAATTACTTACATAAAAACTATGTATTTGGAACATCTCAAAATGAATCATTGAGGAGCTCTAGAAGTTTCTACAGCATCTGGACCATGTTGGAAGATCTGCATGTGTTGCCATATATTGCCATTCAGTTTTATGCTACCTAATTTTCCCCTGCATTGCTTCAACTTGAAAGAAAGGAAATTAGCACAATTGGGACATCTTCTGGACATGTTCTGTATAACATTTTACTTCACAATAGAAATGAAACCAATGCTGAGAGAAAGAGAGAATGCAACTGCATAAGTATTAGGTCACGTTCTGTAAAATTGATCAGTAATCTGAACAGATGAGGTATTGTATTGCACCCAATTATTTTGAACTGTATAGAAACATTCTAGTTTCCACAAAGACATCAAGAGTACTTGTCATAAAAGAACAGAGTAAAACTATTCATGTAGCAACTCTTCGCAGGCATTTTAAAACAGTTTCACATTTAGATTTATCAGATAACTGAACAGGCCACAGATAAACAACTGAAAATGAGGACAAATGGGAGCAGGGAAAGAAGGTTTAATCTTGGCACCTTCAATAAAAATTACAAAACTTAAAAAAAAGTGCTTAGCCCTATATATGTATAGAAATTGCTTTTCCAATATCAGAAATACTTTTTTCAATTGTGATATTTTTATAACAAAATGTATTTTCAAGAACATATGTTAGCAATAATATTGAATTGACAATGCACCATAAAATTGCATGATGAGTCATGTGATTTGTTGACTACTGTCGTCATAGATCATCCAATAATCATGGATAATAGAAGAGGTTGGATTGAAGTTGATTGCTGGAATATAGAAATAAATAATGTAAAGCTAGCTGCTGAGTCTGTTGACATATGAGGGAAGGAAAGAAGCAGACAAGTAACAAGCATTTACAATTAGGTTTGAATGGCTAAAAACTCCAAAATACTGAAAAAGCTGAATATTTGATTTTAAGGTTATGCCAGCTAGACCGGACAACAAAAACCAAGAACCAGTTTTCCTTTTACTAGGCATCTGGTAATCCTAACCAGATTTTACCTCAGTTGCTAATGTAGTAAATTTAAAAACTATTTCAGCAGAAATAAAAAATACCACATTTTAGCATTTTACTAATCTGAAATTGTTTTGCATATGTGTCTTTGTCTTTGAGTATTTACACATATTCACCCACACTTATATATGCAGGTTATACAGTGAATCAAACTAAAAAACTGTCATGTGTTGTAGATGTTCATCAGCTGCTCCTTTGGTGCAAAATAACCATTACAGCCCATCCCCACAGATTTCTGAAATTAATCTCCATTTTTTTCTTACACATTCTTCCCTAGATATATTCCACTGATTGGCTATGTAAAGAGAATATATTTGGAAAACATTCGTTCTCTCAGTGTTCAATAAGCCCCCTCATCCTGTCACGGCCCTGATGGAGGTGAGGGGAAAGAGACAGAACTGTTTGGCTTTCTGCAGAGTAGGACAGGAGGGGAACTCTTGTCAACTTGCATAAATACAGTAGCGAGGATACCGTTTCTTTGAAATGCCAATTTTGCTTTCTCTGATCTTGAAGAAATTAATCTCCCTCAAAAGGGAGATTATCTGTGACAGTAAGACTGTAAAGCTTAAAGTGGAACTATAAACCAGTCTTCTGTAGCAGCTTTTTAATGGAACTATTTCTTTTATAATTTAAGCAGTTGACAAGTGATTGATTGCTCTTTTAGGCTACTCCAGTAGCCCATCCATTACCAAAGGGGAGATGCAGTCCTACCTTTTTGCCAAAAAGTTAACAAAGTCCTCAATGTTAAGGTCTCTTGACTTTTATTGCCCACTTTATTTCTCTCTCCTACTCACTCTGTAATTCCTTGTTTATTTATTTCTACTCACTAAATGCAGTACAAAAACAAGGATATATATCCTTGATCATAGGATATAACAGGTATCTGGGTACCTAGTACTGTGGAATGCATTTTGGTAGAGACTCTTCACCATGAGAATTTGGTCTGCCATGGGTAGGAAAGATATGTTGCTTTCAGATGTTCAATTCTACAGGAAGAAATTCTTTTAATAGCACAAGCACTTCAAATAAGCTGTTAAAATCTGTTTCACCTAGAATATTTCCTCTGAAGCAAAGGACAGAGGGCATATCCGTGTAATTGCAAAATTATATTCTCCAAGTGGTTTACTAACTAATTATTTTGTACTGAGGCTTTAATTCTTGATGATTAGGATTTTCTTATGCATCTTAATGGTTTAAGAGTGTAGCAGTATTTAAAAAAAATAAATGTAAATTATAATTCATTTGATGTGAAACTTCCTTAATTGAAGAGGATAGAAGATTATTCATGCAGATGGGGACAAGGAGCGGTTGTATCTCCAAAAGGAGGAGCCTATGAATGCAAAACTACACAACTGAAAGACACACCGATTATCTTCACCTTATTTGCCAGAGAGAAGCTAAAAATGTATACCTCCCATCTTGCCTAGAGGTCACTCTAGGAGGCTTACAGCCAAGAACAAATCAATATGACAAAACAATATTATAATAAATATTAACATTAAAATTTGACTTAAACTAACAAACATGGCAAAGAAGGGAATAGGTTATTATGGGAAAGGGAAGTAATGCCTATGGCCTTGAAAAAGAATGTTACTATGACTCTTCCTCATCCTATTTGATACTGAGAAATCTCTATACTTCACTTTTTATTTATTATTTTATTTATTAGACTTATATACTGCTTCATAGGGCTTTCAGCCCTCTCTAAGTGGTTTACAATTTTTTT